TTGCAAGCAGCCAATCACCTGGGGCCCATCCACACTATGCAATTATAGTGCTATTATTCCACTTTAATTGCCATGTTTGCACCCCATGGAATCCTGAAGCTGAAGTATGATGCAGCAATAAAGTTATCTGGCTGAAAATTCTAAATGCCCCTTCTTAAACTCCAAATCCCAGGATTCCACGGGACAGAACCATGGCAGTTAAAAGTGGAATAATAATGTTAGAATTGCAGGCTGTGAATAATTAAGGGTCAGCAAACAGCAAGGAGACAAGTTCCACATGCTCTAACATGTAGAGAAATCTTGTAGTACCTTTGGAACTAACTCAAAGTAAGAAGTTGGCAACATGAGTTTTCGTAGACTTAAGTTCTGCTGACAACTTCTTTCTTTCAGTTATTCTCAAAGGTGCTACAAGATCTCTCTACATACTGATTCTACAGACTCACATGGCTATATCTTTGAATGCTCTAAGATGGTAAACTTTTTAAAAAGGAATAAACAGTTGACCATCTCAGAGTATGTGGAGCTTGTCTTCTCACTGTTTACTGCTTTGCATGTGCTTTTCAGTACTCTCTTCACTACTTTAATTAAAGGTCACCCACAGGAATTCAGGAAGAGTCATTTTATTAAAACAGATACCATTTAGGTCTCAAATGACCAACTCAATTCTGTATTGATATTTCAGTGCTTATGAAGAAAGGGGAAAAAACCCAGTGTGGACTAAAAACTTTATTTTGTAAAGTTGCATTGAATTTAGGAGTGGCGTGGGAAGAGAATGCTGCCAAATCCTTGCAACAAGAGTGCAATCTCAAAAGATGACGTATAGACTGTGCAACAAAAATGCCCCAGTTTGTCCATGCAACACAAGAAGATGGGAAACAGCTGAGAAACCGAAATGCTGGGGTCTGACATGGTGCTGGCATGGGTCCAAGCAGGCTTACTCTGCAGCCCTTTGGGACACTATCTATTCCCTTTCCCCTCTCTGCGGATGACAGATACGGTTACTGGCCCCGGAGGAGGATGACGGAATTTCCTTCTGAAAATGAAATGAAGCCCCTTGAAACATTCGGATACAGCTGGATTAAGGAAATGCTTAGGGAGGGAGGGAGGCACTCTGGAGTTCTCTGGCTCGGCCCAAGCGAAAGGGAAGGAAGACCTTAGCCTCTGTGGGAAGAAGAGAAAACCAGACACCTGGGTTGTCTACAGGAGATCAAGGTGGAAGAGAGGTAGAAGTAGGATCCAATGTGGAGAAGGGGTTGGAAGCCAAGAATAACTTATTTTTCAGCTGGAGGAAGATACGATCTAGGCAATTTAGGGTGGTAAAAAGAGTGTTTTTTTCTTTGGCTAGAAACAGGGCTTGGGTGGGGTAGAATAAAGGAGAGGCTGGAAGGGAACAGGAGTTCCTGTCTATATCAGAGAAAGAGAGGGAGTATGGTTTACAATAGGACATGGCAGTGGGCAGGAGATATGGGAAAAGGCTGGGAGGATTCACCTGTAAGCAAGGAAGTTTTTGAGTCCTGTGCCAACCTAAGTCCAGGCAATGGTTTCTGGCTGGAGACCTATTTGCTTTAGCCATAGCCCACGCCCTCCCTTGTTTCCAGCTGGCTGCTGTTTGATTTATGGCCATTCCTCATTCCTACACATACAAACACACACACACACAGGCTATCTTCTGCTTCACAAAAAGGTGGTTTCTT